GTTGGATGATGGCTTCTTCCTCCTCGAATGAAAATCTTCCCCGTTTGATATCAGGTCTCAAATAGTTAGTCCATCTTAAACGACAGCTCTTCCCACATCTTTGGAGTCCTAAAAATTTGGAAAAAAACAGAAAACCCTAATGTTAAGACGTAAAAAAAGATATAATTTAGAAGAAGAAGGAAGCATATATACTTAAACACAAGTATACCTGCATTAGAAGGAAGAGTCCTCCAGTTTCCATGACCATTTTTCTGAATATAATCAATCAATTTCTGATCTTCCTCAGGCGTCCATGGCCCTTTCTTAAGCCCATTTTTATCACAGCAAGGTGCTCTTCCCATGGCTGATATTCAAATCAAGGGTCCTATAGATCCCAGGTTATGTACCAACAAATCAGGCTTAAAAACTGAGAATTTAAAAGAGGGAAAGAAATAGAAGACAATGGGTCCTATTGGAAGAGAGTTTGTGTGTATATATATATATATAGAGAGAGAGAGAGAGAGAGCAAATATTGATGGATTTGGTGGCCGTCCTTTGTTAATCAACATGGATACGTGTCCTCTCTTTCTTGAAGAACAGCACACAATACACAGCTCCTTTACAACGCTGCTGATTGTGATTATTACTCTCACTCACCTCCCACGTGTCAATCACTTTCTTTAATTTTGCACTTTACATCCCTAAGAAAATTTAAAATTAAACCTAAATATTTTCATTTATTTATTTATTTATTTATTTGAAACTACTCTCAAACTAGAAAATATTAATTAAGAAAAATAAAATTTTATTGGGAAGAAGAAAGAAAGAAGTCCCGTTTTCGTGGATTACCAACAGCTGTAACCAACAAAAAGGAGCCACGTAATCCCCGCTTTTGAACACCCTGTGACTGTACCATTCTCTCTCTCCAACCTCACACGCCTACCATTAATTGGTTTGACTAAGATATTTTATTTTATTTATATATATTGTGCATTGACTATTTTACCCCCTCACCCACATCATATTTTGCCCTATTCTTCACGTATATGGCATACCCAATGTTCGAATTGGTCATTTTCTTTATATAATACAATAATTAATGGAAAGAGTTGGGTGTTTGCCGAAATTTAGGAACATTTATTATTCCAAACATTCAATATTTCATAATAATCTCATAACAATTTTTCTAAAAAATTAGAGATTAAATAATAAAATAATAATAATAATCTCTCCCATTGTGTGTATCAAGTGTAGAAAAAGCTATTTATTTGAATTAATCCTTAAAACTATATAGGTTAGCCTACAAATGAATGTTCCACATGCAGGAGACATTCATTTTATTAACTAATAAATAACAAAACCCTAATCCCATTAACAAAAAATGAACGTTAATTAATTATTATTATCATATGCTTAGGTTTATGAGGTAATTACCTAAAAGAGCAGCCTACGTGTGCAGATTGATTAGCCACAATTAATTTAAAATTCGATAGATGCCATTTCCAAAGATTTTCTCCTTTCTAATTTGAGTAGCAGTTCAATTTTTTCTCACCAAACATATTATAAAATGCATAATTTTTTAATTATAAAGTGCTGACTTAGCTATATTGTAGCTAAAGCTTATACTATTTTAATGCAGAATTAAGATATGGGATCTATGGGTTGTGTGGTTCGCCTTTAAAATTGCTATTTTAAATTACCTGAAATTAAAATTAAAAAAAAAAAAAAAAAAGAAATTGCATCTCAACCACTGATCACCACGCATATTCTTCTCGTGACTACTAGAATATGTCCCCTCTTAGATTAGGTTCCCGTAAATTATTATTATTATTCTATATTAATACGTAAAGTTTACTATATTTTAATTTTTGTAGCAATACAATAATTGATGCATTATTGATCACAAAATAATATTATCGATTTGAGTTGATATTATCACGTAGGAGTTGTCGGCTTTGTGAGTTGGTTGGGCCTTGACCCATAGTTGGCCCAATGGATGGCACTACTTGTGGGCTACCTGATTATTGGGCCTGACTGGGCCTGGGATCCGATCAAACCGAAAGCTACCCAGCCCAAGTTCGCTTCCACGTCTTCTATGTGATGGGACACAGACATTAAATTATTAGAATTTATACATACAACGATAACATTTAATCCACCAACTTAGGATATTATTAATATTAGTCGTGATATAAATGAAAAGGATTGATTAGGACAAAGAATTATTCATAGAAACAATATCCATATTGTTTAATCTTATAGTTTTAACCTTTAGATTTAAAATTATAATATTATAATGGATAAAATGAATGAGGTGGCGAGTCCGTTGTCGTTATCCAGAAAATTTTGGAGCAATAAACACGTGTCAAGTACGAGACTGAACATGACCCCACCAGTGCCCCTAGTTTTCATCGAAAATCCGCCGTCTAAAACGAATCCTACGCCTCAACGCCGGCTGTTTCACTTCTTCATTGCTCTTAAAGCTCTGCTCTACCGATTTCGTACGACTAAACCAGAGCGACACTCTGTTTCGAACCTCTGCCCTTTTTTCCACAAAGACCCATGAGCCGTAGATTTTACAAGGGCGAGATCAGCGGAATGAAAGATCCGACGGCGAAGCGTGAGGCGATGTTGAAGGCGCTGAGAGATCATTCGGGATCATCTTCGAATCAGGGGGCAAGGGGATTTTACAGTGGTATGGATTCGAGTGCGGTAATGGCTGCGAAGGCGGATAAACTTAAGCGGGCCGAGGAGTCTCTGAGAACGGTCATGTATTTGAGCTGTTGGGGGCCTAACTAAACGTCGTCGTATTTAGACAAACATATCTCTCTCAAACGAACGCCGCCCAAGAAGGACACCGTTTTTCTCAGATCATTGACACTGTAAATCATCAATGCAGTTCATAAGAAAAATGGTTCAAAGAAGCAAGAAAAGGATAGAGCGTCGTGGTGTAAATATGTTGATGCTTTGGGAGCTTTTCTCTTGTTTTGTATAGTTGCTGTTGCAGTTATGTTTGAAATGTTTGCAAATTTGATTTTATGCCAAGATCTTCTGAACTCAATGCCATATTTAATTCCATCATTTTTAGTTCTCAACAACACTACAATCACAGTTATACAATGATTCAGAACCTTACTAGCTGGGATGATTTCAGGCAACTTAATTAGAATAAAAAAGCTCCATCCCCTGGTTACCCCATTTCCCCCTATATCTATATACCCTCTCTGTAAAGTCAAAGAAGCTCTTGGTAAGATCAAAGAAATAACCTGTTCTTGCTCCGTAACGAATTCTTCTAATAATTACGAATTTCCCCTTTTAAAAGGCATACAGTACTTTTGTGTTTACGAGCCAAAGTTTGAAGACAAGAAAGGCGAAACTAAGTATATACTGGATTCGATACAAATTCTTTTTGTTTGAGGATCCTCTGTAATGAAAGATTTCTGGATATACGCACAAATCGATCAATAATAAAAAAGACGAATCGATCAAAGTCGGCTTACTAATGGGATGCCCTAAGACATTACAAAATTGCGCTTTAGCCAATAATCCAAGCAAAGTAATAATAGGAACTAGTGTTATTGGTTGGTAGCATTATCTATTATCAATTACCCTATCGTATATCACAAATATTGAGGAGTCACTCACCAACGTGGAACGCTAATAAGATGCTCGATTCACTTGAAATTTGATGATGTAGATATGTATCTCCCTAATATAGATCGTTCTATCGATTGACATATAGTTTTATAAATTAATTGAGAATGCAAAATAATAAATTGTAACGTTAATAATGTTTGTTATTAAAACGGAGGCATCTAATATGCATCTCAGACAAGTACACCGTCCTTCTAATTCCCCCTTCCGCGTCCCAAAAGTAAATGAATAAAATAAAATAATAAAGGAATCCGCCAATGGTAAACAAACAAACCAGGGATTTTGATGAACGGTATTTTATTAATTCTTTGATAATCCCAAAACCATTCCTATCCTGAAATAATGAAGTCCTTTGTGTTCGTTTATATAGGACACACAGGAGTTGAGGATTGGCATAAGAAATCAGGAGGAAGGAAGAAGATGAGCTATTTGAGCAGAGCATGTATGGCCGCCGCTAGTGTGGCCGTGGTGGAAGGTGGCCATGCCGATCACTTCTCCAAATGGAACTCTGAAACTCTTTTTCAGTCCAAGCGGCGATTTCAGAACCTCGACACGGCGTCTCAGGAGCTCGGCCCCGGCAGCACTGGGATTGGAAAAGATGGGGAGAAGGTGGTTAAGGCTGAAGATTCTCTTCATAAAGTCATGTACTTGAACTGCTGGACACAGAGCTGAATTAGCAGCCTCAAGAGCAGACCATTTCATATTCGGCTGTACGTTCTCCTTTTTGGCCCAATTTTTAGCTCAGGAGTCCAAGGAACAGCAAGCTGCCTACTAGTAGCTCTCACCCAGACACGACTGGATGGATAATCCACTTTTTCGTCCATTTTAGTCTTTCATTGTTTCATACAAATTCTATACCCAACCAAATCTTTTGAATCTTAACTCATTTTAACAAAACCTTGTTTATTTACTTATTTATATACTTCCATAATTAAACCACCTACAAATCACATACCTATACGATCTCCGGAGTTCATGGAACTATCTCCTAGCAATCTTTAACAATTCTCTCCTAGAAGAAAGTACATTATAGAGCCTTCTTGGAAGCCTATAGAGCCCGACTCCTTCTTTAGAGCCCTCGAATAAATAGGCCGGAAACCTAAATACACTATTTGTTTGACACTTTGAGTCACTTTTGACTATATCTTCGAGCTCACAACTTCTTTATTCGACATTTGAGAATTCTATTGACGTTACTAACTTAAGGGCATGACTATGATACCATGCTAAAAATCATGGACCCTTCACAATAGTACGATATTATTCACTTTGAGCATGAACTCTCATGACTTTATTTTTTGTTTTCCTTATTTATAAACTCAGGATCATTCCCTTAATTAGCCAATATGAAATTACCTCTCAACCATATCACTATTAAATTGATACTGATAGTGAAAAGTTTGTAGTATCCATCTTCTCTAACAAAAACTGAAGTCTTCACAATAATCACAATAAGCATTTTACTAAAATCCTCCACCCTTCACCATTTCAACTCTCTCTCCATCATCCAAATGCTTGTCATGCACAAACCTTTTCCAGTACCAATGTGTCTTCCAAACCTCATTCATCTCTTCAATTGGAATGCCCTTTGTCTCAGGCAAGAACACCGCCACGAAGATCGACATCAGTAGAACAAAGAACGCAAAGAAAAGGAACAACCCAAATTTCATATGGCAAAGCATTACCAAAAACACTTGAGCTACCACGAATGTGAAGAACATGTTGACCGAGACGTTTACACTTTGAGCAGCCGAACGAATCTCCAATGGGAAGATTTCACTTGGAACCAGCCAACCTAGAGGCCCCCATGACCATGCGAACCCCGCAACATATATGCAAATGAACAGCACCACCACAATTGCGTACCATCTGGGTAGCAGCCCAGGGTCCCCATCTACTCCAAATTTTGCACCAATTGCCGCTGCCACTACTATCTACAAAATAACACACAAACACCAAAAATTTTGTTTTCACTACCAAATTAGAAAACCCTTTTTAGATATGCTGGAGAGGAGAACGTAACATTCTTTATAAAGACGTTGAAATCTTTCTCTAGTAGATGCGTTTTAAAAACCTTGAAGTAAAGTTTAAAGAGAACAATATCTGCTAATGGTAAACTTGGACAATTACAGTTATTTTACCTGACATATCAGCATTTGAATTCCTCCCTCCAGAAAAAGAAGCCTCCTTCCCCATTTGTCGACGCCGTAGATTGAAACAACCGTAGCAGAAACAAAAACACAACCGGTGATCACAGCTGACATAAGGGCAGCTTCACTTCCGAACCCAATGGTGTCAAACAGAACAGGAGCATAGAACATGATGACATTGATGCCAGTGAGCTGTTGGAAGAAAGGGATCAAGATGGCCATGGTGAGATGGGGTCTGTATTTTTGCTTCAACAGGTTAGTCCATGAATTCTCCACTTGGTTTGATGCAACACTGGCTGTAACAAGGTCATTGAACTCTTCATCAATGTCGTCAATTCCACGGATTCTTTTGAGTTGATGTCGAGCCTCATCGTGGCATCCTCGCTCGATCATTGAGTTCGGAGTGTCGGGGAGGACAAAGGCTCCGACTGTGATTATAAGAGCAGGAACCACAGCACCACCCAAACTCAAGCGCCATCCCCACCCACCTTTGATCTTTGCGAAGAAAAAGTTCAACACATTGGCTATCAGAATTCCAACTGTGATTGACAGCTGAAAACCAATGTTGAGGGCACCTCTGTATTTGTATGGAGCCATTTCAGACAGGTATAGTGGCACTGACTGTAAAAGAAACAAAAAACACAACCAACTACTTCAAATTAAACATTGTATATAACAAATCCAAGTTGTGTTTGTACAATAGTTTCGCTTTTTCTCTCTGATTGTTCTAATAAGGAATAGAATCATGGAATCGTGTAACAGTTATGTCCACCGTTAGCAGATATTGTCTTCTTCGAGTTTTAACTTTCGAGTTTCCCATCAAGGTTTTTAAAACGTGCTAGTGAGAAGTTTTCATACCCTTATAAAGAATGTTTCGTTCCTCTCTCCAACCAATGTGAGATCTCACAATCCAACCCCTTCGAGGCTCAGCATCTTCACTGACCCACATGGTGTCCACCCCACTTCGAGGCTCAACGTCCTCACTGGCACACAATTCAATATCTAACTCTGATACCATTTGTAACAGCCCAAACTCACCACTAGCCGATATTATCTTTTTGGGTTTTCCCTTTCAGCCTTCTACTCAAGTTTTTAAAACGTATCGGCTAGGGAGAAGTTTTCCTATCCTTCTAAAGAATGTTTCGTTCCCCTCTCCAACCGATGTGAGATCTCACAATCCACCACCTTTAAGCCCAGCATCTTCACTGACGCTCATTCCCCTCCCCAATCGATGTGGGATCTTATAATCCAACTCCCTTTGCGGCTTAGCGTCCTCGCTGGCACACCGCACGGTGTCCACCCTCCTTCGAGATGCGTACTGGGGAAGCCCATAAGGGAAAGCCCAAAAACATTGAGGGGAAGCCTGGAAGGGAGAGCTCAAAGAGAAATGTATCTGGATAAGTACCAATTCTGCTGTGTAACTTTGAAAGACGCGTGTGAAAACTCATAAGTGAAACCCAAAAACCTTGAGGAAAGTCCGGAAGGGAAGACATAAAAAGTACAATATCTGCTAGAAATGAGCTTGGGCTGTTACAAATAGTATCAGAGCCGACAAAAAATGCGCCAAAGAGGACTTTAGGCCACCAAGAGAGTTGAATTGTAAGATCCTACATCGATTGAAGAGGAGAACGAAACATTTCTTGGATATGAAAATCTCTCTTTACCCGATAAGTTTTAAAGGTTGGAAGGAAAGCCAAGAAGGGAAAGCTTGGACAACATCTACTAAGTTTGGTTTGGGCCATTAAGGTTGCATCTTACTTTTCAACAACCAAATGTGATTACTGTTACCGACTGTTGGCGGGTTTTGTAGAAAATCAAAAAACTAATAACAGAGATCAGCTGCGTTTACAAACCCCTATTCACCAAATTAAAACCCCTATTTTTCTGCTCAATGGATCTATATTGAGTTTCAAGCACAAAGCATTGAATCCTAACTTTCAAAATAGCAAAACTACAGCGACAGAAGTAATATATCGGCACCTGATTAGCGAAACCGATGCCAAAACCAAGCAAAATACGACCAAGAATAAGCATCAAAACGTTCTTAGCAGCGGCATTGATTATAGCACCAGAACAAAACAGCATACCACCAAACAGCATAGACAATTTCCGCCCAAATCTACGCGTCACCGTCGACGCCACCAGCGACGACAACAGCGCCGCCAAGTAAAGCGACGAGGTGAACAACGTCAACGCCTCACTGTCGTACTGACAGTACTGGTTGGTCGTTTCCTTCTGGTTCTTCTTCCTGAACACCGACGGGAAAAACTTCTCCAAGAACGAGTCCATCGAAGTTACCCCACCTACCCAAAACCAACAAAAACAAATTTTAGCCAAAAAAAACCCCATCTAATTCATAAAGCAATAAAACAATGAGTACCCGAAATTCCAATATCGTAGCCAAAAATTAGCCCCCCCATGGCAGCGACGATACATGTCACAGTGACATAAAGAGTAAGATTCCCCGGATACGCCTTTTTGGTGCCACCGGTGGCAATTCCCACGGCCGGCATTTTCGAACAGAGGATCGATAACCAAAAGACGACGGCCGAAGCTCGGAGTTGGAAAATGTTGTTTATGGAGAACCATGGGCTAAATAAATTATTGACTAAGATATGGAAAAACAGTAGAATTTTCTTCAAAAGAGACGATAATAATAATAATTATAATTATTATATTCTTCCAACCTCGTGCAATTATAAAATGAACAATTAAAAATAACGGTGTAGCAGTAGTAGCCGTAGTAACACATGGGGTTGGACTTCCAAAACATACATCTAATTTTGTAATCATTTTTTTTTTTTTAAATCTCGAGATTAAATTATAAAAAAAAAATCATTAATGAATTTTAACGATACTTACTTGAGCCATCGAGGAAGTCAGCTAACTAGATCTGTGGTTATATGTTTAATCCTCGCTCCTTCCTTGAAGTTTTCTTTTAGAAAATGGACGGAGAGAAAGGGGTAGAAAATATATATTTTGAAAAATTAAGATTTATAACTCTTTTCTCAATATATTTTTTGAAAAATATTTAAAATTTTATTTTAGAATAAATAATAAAAATAATTGTAAAATTAAATAGATACATGTATACATATAATTGTATGATAACTAATAAGATATAGTTTATTATTAATTTTTGGAAGATTGGATAGGCCCACTTGACAATAGTTTCGTTCCCGCGTGTATAAATGAAGTTCGGGTTGTCTTTTCCCTTATGCCAAAGGATACAGTGTGACAAATATTTTAAAACACGTGAGAAAAATTACAAATATACTTTGAATTTATATGTTTTAACTATTAGAGTGCAAAACTTAGGAACATTTTATAATGAGTAATTGAAGGCATAATTAATATAATTACGCATGATTGAGCAAAATTGTATGGCTTCAATGATTGAGCCGAGTCGAAACCTGACCAAAACAGAAAAATGTATTGCAAACAAGCAGCCCAAACTTCTAGGCCCAATCAGTTTGTTGAAAGCATTCGAACCCCTGGTGCATGTTTTTGATCCATCCTTTGCTTAGGGTGCATGTTTTAGTCTTACTTTTGCCCTTGTTTATTGGTTCAATAATCAAAAGAGATGGCACCAACTTCAAGTTTACTGCACCTTTCTATCTCGTAATATGAAAGAAAATAGATAGCATAATCACTTAAGCTCACCGCTACTATATATTTTTTGCTTTAACTCGTTAAGTATCGCCGTTAACCAAGGAAAGATTTTCACACTCTTGTTAAGAATGTTTTGTTCTCCTCTCCAACCGAGATAGAACCTCACATATAAGATACTAATTACTATTAAAAAGATCGATGATTTGATATTTGAACCAAGGACCCATCTCTGGGTTGGCACCAAAAATATCAAATATTTATTCGACGGATCCACACCCATTCATTCACATGCTGGCAATGCATTGCAAGAAGTTTCTTATGTGTAAATGTATGGTCCAGTTGTCAGGCCCTTCGCTGCTTGCTTCCCATTTGTCCATTCCTCATCTCTAAAAGCTTATTATATAATATTAATGAATGAGATTGCAAGATCTGGAAATTGGGACTGCCATCGACCTGAAATTATATCCACAATCATTCATGTTTTGATTAGTAACAAGTGCATACATTCATTGCGAGCTTAAACCTTGTTCAAGATTATGAACAATCATTCATTTGGTGTTACATCAATGTTTTATTGATATCAAGAAACTGGGTTTGCCTGCCACAACAAACGGGATATAGAAAGGGAAAATACAAAAGATTCACTGCATCTTCACTTCATCCATCACTGTCTTCTCAGTGTCAATGTCCGAAAATGGCAGATATGGGCAGAAGCTTGATTAAAACTGCTCATACTCCGCTGTTGTTTTCAGTGTCTTTTCTTCTCCCCCATGTGCCTCTCACCCATCATCAACTACACTCATTTAATGTGTTCTCTCTCAATCTCAGGGCTATAATACAAAAGTTTATGTGGGTGGTTGGAGATGATTAAATTAGAGCTTTCTAATCACACTCTTATGAAGCTGTTTGTTGAAAGGTAAGTTTTTTAATGAACTGGGAAAGATCAGAGACGAAAGTTTTTGGGAATCAAATCAGGTATGGATTGAATAAACAAAATCATGTAAGAAGGAGAAGAAGAAGAGGAGGAGGATATTACATTCAAGAATGCCAGATTCCATTCAACATACTACGGAATTTGTTTGTGGACAATTTTCTGACGAGCTTCTTAGCGTCGTAAACTTCAGCTTCTGCAAGTTTCTCAATGTTTTTCATATACCCAGAATTCACAATCTTCCTTCTACCACTACTGCTTCCTGTTAATGAGTTTAATATGGAAAAGAGGAACCTTTTGTTACCTGAATTTCCCTCCTCTGTGCCCAGCATTTGCAGAAGCATCTCTACGTTTCGATTGTCCTGAGAAAATCTCTTACGGTTTTTGGGGATCATGACCAATTCTGAGAGTGCCTCGGCTGCCATTTCTCGAACTTCAAACGACTTTGCACCAAGAAACTTGACGAATTCTGGCATGAAACCTCCATCCCCCATGGCTTTCTTGACGTCTTCTGATGTCCCACATAGCCTAGCTGCAACTTTCAGAGCTACTTCTTGAAGAGAAACCTCCCCATTTCGTAAGAAATAAAGAAGATTATCCATGAACCCGTAGTTCATCAAAATATTTACATAACTAATTGATGAGAAACAGAGGTTTTCAATTGCTCGCATCGCTACCTCTAGAGTTTTGGTTGAGGACGAAGATTTTGGATCCAAAACACGAACTAAAGCCCGAATTCCACCGTCTTTAACCAGGAATTTGTTGACTGATTCATCCCCATAAGCTATATTTTGGAGAAAAACAATAGAGTTCATCTGCACAGCTTCATCTTTAGATCGAGCGAGCCTAATAAACGTTGAAATTGCACCTTCTTCAATCATAAATCTCTTGATCTCTTCAACACCAACGAGATTGCTGAGCACCCCACAAGCAGGGCTGATCAATTCTGCTTTGGAATCAGCCTTGGAACAGATTTTTAACAGAGCTGTTACTCCGCCATGAGCAGATACAGACCAAGCATTTCCAGAATTCTCCGTGAATTTCATCAAACACCTTGTGGCTATGTTCTTCCCCTCCTCGCTCCCACTTTCCAAGACCCGAATCAATGGCGCAATTACCCCATTTCCAACTAGAACTGCTTTGTAAGAATCAAACCCAGAGATTATATGAAGAACTTTCAAAGCCGCTTCTTGGAGTTCTGTCTCGGGCGAGCCAAGAAAATTAACAAGGAGATTCACTATCTCGCCGATTTCTATTATTAGTTTCACATACTTTTCGTCTTCAGTTACAGCAGCGAGAAGATTAACGAGGGCTTGCCTCTTCAGATCTGAACAACCAATCTTCATTCTCGTTACAATATCCCTCACATAAAATCTCATATCATCCTTACAAGCTCCAAGGCCAGGCCTAGAAACGACGATGGCGAACCCTTGCGACAAAATGCCTGCTGTATAAATGTCCGAAAGCTTCTTCGCATGGCGGTCAAATTTCGCACAGATAACATCCAAATCACTTTGCATCAAAAGCTTCCCACTGAAAGAGAGATCAACACAGCGGCAAGCGAGATCGCGGCATTCAGTAGCTGTCCCAATCACCTTACGAATTAGGTCAGAGATTGCGGGATTTTCGTCGGAATCACAGTTATCAGCCGCGATTAAGCCGGAATTCAATTCTTCAAGCTTGTCGCGGATTAATTTCCATTTGGAAGCAAATACTTTAACGGAATGAGAGAGAGATATCAAAGAAGAAATGAGGAGAATTACTTGCCGGAGTGTGGGCTTGTCCAGTGAGAAATCCGGCGACTTCGTCGGGCCCGTTTCTGCAGGTCTCGGACCCTGTTCTTCTCTCATTTTAATTGTCACTGGAAACGGATTAAAATCATTTTCCGGCGAGTTGACGGTAAATTCTCCGGCGAAGAATCACTACTCTGAAAGCAAAACGGAAGGTCCGTGATATAGAGCGAGTTATCAAGATTCCAGGTCTGTGGTGACTGGTTTTTCTCCGCCTTCTTTCAATTTTAATTAAATATCAGACCCAGTAAGGTCAAAATTGGAAAATTGTTGTATTAATTCATTAATTATATTTAGGCTAAATATATGTATTGATCCTACTTAGCCTTGCAATTAAAATAAAAAATATTTATTACCATCTAAAATGTTAATTTTTTATTAATATTTTTAGTTTATTAGTTGACTTGTTCAAAATAAAAATAAAAAAATAAAAAAAAAGTTATTTAAGAAAACTCGGAATATCTCTTTTTTCCGATATATCTCAAGATATTTATAAATTAGGAAAATGAATTATTAATTTTTCTTTCTTAAATGACTTCTTTTCTTTAAATTCGTACTAAATTTCATAATATTATATAAGTTTATCATCCAGCAATCTTAATAATAATTTATAATCAACAAAATTAAAGTGTAAAAATAAATCTTAATTTTAAAATTAAATTATATATTATTAAACCTAATTATAGTGAAAATGGAAATTTGAGAATAAATATAAGTAAATTTTCACAAGTAATTATGTTTTAATTTGTTGTAATAATTAGTTGGATTTTTATAAATAATTAACTTAGAGAAATAATTTTTACCTTTTACCAAAACTGTAAAAGTAAATAGTAAATCACCGTATAACCCACAAGTCATTGGAATGTTTCCATCCCTTTCTAAACACAAGTTGGATCAAATTGAAGCCATGTGTCAACTCAATAATTTTATTGATTTCTTTTTTTTTTTTTTAAATGAAAATCTTCTCAACTTTATGTATTATTTTGAAAATCTTATTTTTAGATCATAAGTAATATAATTTCTTTATATTAATCATGTCACATTGTAATAAAAAGAATCTCATCATCACTAAAATAATTCATGAATGGTATATAATAATTATGTTTTAGTGAAGAAAATGTTACGAATTATGTCAAACATTTTGGACTAAGATAGAAGTAGTCCTACCAAAAAAAAAGAAAGAAAAAAACTTTGTATGTTCTTATTTCTATTGATAATCTTTTATTTCATATACCTAAAACTCAAATAATGAAATATTATAGGAATGAATC